AAATCTTTAAGTCTAAAAGTGAAAGAATAGAATTGGTTGCTCAATTTTTTTCTTGTTTCTATAAATCTGTCCCACTGGGATACATATAATGATGACAGAGTAAATAAAAAAGCAAAGTAATGGCTAACTGGCACACAAGAAAAAAGAAAGACTGTTGATTTCTGAGAAAATCTTTGATCCGATTCTCAGTCAGTGACATGTAGTATAGTGAAAATGGCAATCAAAGCACAAAAACTGTCGTGAACGTGGAATGAACAATTGAGAAGTCACAATTCTGAAGCTTGCAAGGAAAAGAAACAAGTAAATGATTCTTCTTGAGAAGTTTTACGACTGTGCCTAGCAAAATATACAATGTTAGTCAATTGCTTAACAGCCTAGAATAACAGCCCCCATTTTATTACCAGTCTCTGACAAGGAGACAGATCTTGTCTGTAATGAAAAAAAAAATAGCAATGCAATGTATGGGGACATCTAGAAAGGACAATTTAAAGTGTGCCTGCAGTGACTTCAAACATGTGACACTAGGCTTGGGCTTCTAAAACACAAATTCCCATCAGACCTCAGAAGGCTAAGCATTAATTTGGCCTAAAACCCAACCAATAGAAGTTCTGGTTGAAAGTTTTATAAGTGTTTTGTGGCTCCTGGGGCACTCATAAATTATGTGCAATAAGCAGTAGTTTGGGGTACTTTCATTATGTATGATGCATGTAATATTTTTGCTGTCCACATACCCTTTAATTTTCATGCTGCTGTGCTGTGAAGAAACTGCACCCAGCCACAACTAGGAGGCACCACTTCCAGATGAGAGACCGGCTCTGCATTGAACGGAACAAGTCTATCTTCCAGAAGCGGCTTAGGCACAGAAGAAATCCACCTTCAGCCAAGGAACTTTATTTCCTAATGAATACTGGCTTCTAAATGGGTTTACTAAAACTTTTGTTTGTCTGCACATGGTTTATTTAAATGTAAAGAAAAATTCATGACGACATCAGCAAGCATACTTAGTCACACAAAACAGGAGCAAGCAGGAGATGGATGAGCAGTGCATTATTAGTAATGGGCTCACAGATTATTAAACATAGCCCAGTGTTAATTCAGTGTAGTATGGCATCTGGTCGATTGCTTCAAATAAGTGAGAAAGGTTACATGAAGATCATCATTTGCATTACATAAATATTACACTCATATGGCAAGTTCTGAAACCACATCCAACTACAAACAGGCCATGCAGGTTAAACGAATGATTCGTATGCAACAGAGTTTTAAATATGACTATAACAAAACTACAGTATATGTATAAAATTGAAAAAAAAACTCACATTGGTATCCTTCAAATCAAAGAAATTACAAAATACAGTAATACCTCGGTTTACGAAATTAATTCGTTCTGCAGGACTTTTCGTATAGCGAAAAATTACTAAATCAAAATTCCATTTCCATAGGAATGCATTGAAAACCAAAATGAATCCGTTCCAGAGATCAGAAAAAAGTAAACACTACTAAAATACGGCATGAGTTATTTTATTAAGTCATGCCCTATTTTAGTAGTGACAACCATGTGTTAATGTTTCAGCTGTCAGCGGGGTTCCCCACTGACAGCTGAATGTAAAAAAATTGATGGCAATTAAAAAATGTGACCCACACCCCATGTGAAATCAATGATGTCACATGGGGCAGGGTTACTCGAGTGATGTCCCTAGGTGGCCCCGCCCCTTACATATTTAAGAACGGTCAAACCACCGGAGCAGGCATAAGGCTGGAAGCCATCGTCGGAAGCGGAGCCTGGTTTTTTTTTACTCTTTTCTCAGGTCGGCAGCAGGCATCGTGATTGACGTTGGATCTACTGCAGGGGACATTCTTTTAGTTTTTTCTTTTAAAAAAGGACTTGTCAAAGAACATGTCTTGTCTTTTTTCACACTACGCTTTTTGTTTTTTGTGAATGAGTAGGGGTACCATGTACCCCATACTCATTCATATGGGGGGGGGGGGGGGGGGAGGATCTGGGGGCTTCCAGATTCTGATAAGCCCCCCGCCCGCAGACCCCCACAACCACCAGCCAATCTTGTGGGGAAGAGGCCCTTGTCCCCATCAACATGTGGACAAGGTGCTTGGGGGGGGCCCCAAAGCACCCTTCCATGTTGAGGGTATGTGGCCTGGTAAGGTTCAGGTAGGTGGGGGGGGGGGGGGGGTCTCGCTCCCCTCCCTTTTCTTAACCTGCCGGGCAGCATGCTCAAATAAGGGTCTGGTATGGATTTTGGGGGGGGCCCCCACACCATTTTTTTTTTAATTTTGGCGTGAGAGTTCCCTTCAAAATCCATACCAGACCCGAAGGGCTTGGTATGGATGGTAGGGGGGACCCCACACTTTTTTTTTTATTTATTTATTTATTATGGTGCCAGTTTTTAAATGTAATTACCGCTTTTAGTTTATTTCCCTGAATTAAGAGAAACAATGTTTACTTTTAGTTTCTTAAAAGTTCTAAAAGTTTCCGTTAACTCCGGGGAAAGTGACAGCTAATTCTGTGAGCTATAGTGAAGAAAAAAAAGCCGGCAATTGCATTTAAAAACCAGCACTGACATACACTTTATATTGCAAAATAAATTTGTAAAAAATTTGTAAACGGAGGCTTTATTTTCAATAGATTTTCATTTGTAAAATGAAAATTACATTAACCAAGGCGTTTGTAAACAGAGGTATTACTGTACATCATATAACATATACAATCATAAAATACATTAACATTGCTTTGTGAGGAAGGTGAGAGGGGCAGTGTTCAATTAACTACAGCTTTAGCAGAGACTGAGGACACTGCCTGTGTAATATGCTAGATTCTAAAACCAGATCTCTCTACCAGTATTTCCTGTCCATGTTTACCCACCTTGCTGCATTCGCAGCATTCCCAATTATATAAAATAAATTATTCAAAATCCTCCTAATGTCCAAGGCAAGTGTTCCTGGCAATTTGAGCACAGAGTTCTCATCAATGAAGTCCTTGAGAAATCAATGGTTTAACAATTCATCTACCAAAAACTGGAATATCAGGTGTTGGGTAAGTGACCCTTTAAAGTACACCTGCCACGTGGTGGTAAAAACCAAAGTAAGGCTTCAGCTGTAAAACCCAGGGGTATCTACTCACAATGCAATACATATGATGTAAAGCAGGACTCCAGCTCAAACATTTTTTTAGGGAAGTTCCTAAGATACATTATATGACCAAACGTTTATGGACACCTGATAATCTCATATGCTGTATTGCAAAAATTATGTGACATCCCCTACAGTAATTATTGAGTGTCGGTGTTTCCAATGACGGTTCTTGTTAATGTTACAGCATACAAAGAAATATTAAACAACTTACAACCTTGTGATGACAGTTTTAAAACGTGACTGTGCCCAAAAGTCAGGTCTAAAATGATATGGTTTGATGAACCTGGTGTGGAGGAACCTGAGTTGTCTTCACAGAGCCTTGACCTCAACCCTATTGAAAACCTTTGGGATATACTTAAATGCTTATTATGTGCCAGACCTTCTTGTTCAACATCAGTACTAGACAAATGCTCTTTTTACTGAATGGGCCAAATTCCCACAAACACGTTTTCCAGTGGAACCTGTTATAGCCCCAAACTGTTCTTCAGTTGTGTATCAATGTTCATGGTTTTGGACTAACATATTTAACAAACTTGTATATTGTAGGTGTGATGGTCAGGTTTCCACAAATTTTTGATCATGTAGTGTATTTAACTTAAAGGGTGTCAGTCAGAATAGAACCTGTGGGAGCTGCAACCACTGACTAGATTTCAAAGACAACTTCTGGGGTGATCCTTCCCATATTGGTGAGGTCTTGACAAACCACAATCTGACTTGAATTCTGGGGAAGCTAAGGACGGCATTTTGCTCAGCCCCACTTCTCCACTCTTTTCACAGTGGCAAATCAGATGAGAATCAGCTGTCGCTTGGATTGTAGTCCTGTGAGCTAGAAAATCTAATAGTCAGTGGCTTATCGAGCTGTGAAGCCAAGATAAGAATTTCAAAAGAATTGACAGCTTCTGCATTTATATCCTGATAGATTCCATTTCATGCAGTAAAATGATTAATATTCCTATATGACTAATGGAGCCTTACCTATTGTACCTGCTCCTGGTGTTTAAATATGTGAAGTAACCTGTCCTGTAGAATACACATTCCTGAACTGTGGGCATTCCACAGCTGAACTGTATAAATAAAGCTGCCCTGCGACAAACTGCCCCAATCACTGCCCCAATCTGAACAATGAACACTGCCCCAAACATCCAACACACAAATCAACAGCTTGGAGTGGAGGCCTCCTTCACACTGGAAAAGGTTTCCATATTTAATCTTATATTTGTCCTACTTAAAGGGAATGTATAGTGGTTTTATATATATATATATATATATATATATACATATATACATATATATACACACACACATATACATATATACACACACACATATATATATATATATATATATATATATACACACACAGTTTCTATTATGGCTAAGACTAAAAATTTAAGAGTAAAACAGGAAATATTGTTTATTAATAAATGTGTATTTTTCTAATTTTAGTCTGCAAAAAGCCTGTTAAAGTTCAATAGTTCAAGCTGAAATTAACTTTACACACAACCAATGAGACAAACCAATCGACCTCCTTCTGTACAGCTCTCTCTGAGGTTTCAAAGTAAGAAAAGAAGCAATTACTGCTAAGTCTCTTTAGCTAACCCAGTGTTCTGGGAATGCTTTGTCATTTTTTGTAAAAAAAAAAAAAGTTATAAATAAAATATTAGCTTAAAAAAATATATAACCTTAAAAAGTGACCCAAAACCATTATAGTTTCCCTTAAATATTCACTTATGTTTTCAGTTTTCATATATTAGCAAACACTTTAAACAAGCAGTACAAAATGGAAAATTATAATAACTGCCTAGTAGTAATACAACAACACATTAATAAGTAAAAGAAATAAGGTATCTCACCCGTTGTGAGTGACAAGGCACTGTCTAAGCCCCAGCTTGCGGAATATATCCACTACTATCTCCATTGGTGTATGGTCCGTTACTGTAAAGGGACTCATGTCCAAGATGCTGCGGAGTTTCAAGGGGCGAGGGCTTTCTGCAGGCAGGGATGGAGTGTGTTGAGCAAAGCATACCCGGGAACTTCCAACAATGCCCTCCTGCTTTTTTCTTGCATTTTCTAAAAATGGGGAGCAAAATATTCTTGTTAGTCACTAACACTCCTGTAGGTCTTCAACACAAACCTGTCAGAACAGAAATATTTGTTGTGACAGACGTGATGTGATACAGACTGTATCATCTGCTATAGTTTTGGAACAAAACTTAATTTAGGACTCCAAATTTTGGTGTGATGCTCTAATTTTCACACTCAAACACCATTACAACAGAAATATGGCAGCTACCATTGCTGGCATTTTGTTTGTTAAAGATGCAAGTCTAGGAATGTCATCCTCATCCTGGATTAATAACGTGGTAAGTCTCTGACCAGGAACAAAACTTGTGCCTCAGCAAATAAAAAGGAGGATAACAACAATAGCTCTGGAGCTTGCACCTTCAAACAGCAAGTCACCAGTTCAGCTACGATACATTTGTCCTGCTAAGTTCTTTTAATTCATAAAAAGAACCTACAACCAAATACAAAGATTTTTTATATATTGCAGCTTACCAGATCTTAAATTTTATGTCTGTGTTGGTTTTCTTTTTCAAGCTTTTCCTTTATTGGTAAGTTGGTAATTCTGTGATTAAAACACTTCCAGTCCTTGGGTGCCTATGCTTACTTCTCCATTGTATTTATGAAAGAAGTCATGGTTGACAGCCTGAGATTAACCCTTTCCACTATCTCCCAGCATCTCTTTAAGTGGGTCTTAGGGCTGGGAGGTGGGCTATACTTTTCTACCTTGTGATTACTGCAATTGGCTGTCACAACAATCACATGACACAGACCGGGAGTTGTCTATGACAGCACTGTTATTGTGCTGGGAGAGTGCTCTCAGCACAGAAACCTTGGTCCCCATGGACGTATACGTGAAGCACATGGGCATTAAAGCCCAAAGGCACTGCTGTCGCACATTGGCAACATGTGTTCGGTAGATGGTTAAAAGAATCTGCCCTTGTTCATCTCCATTACATGTTGGGTAATTAGTATCTTAAACAAGCTGCGTTTTTGGGGGGTTTTTCTATTACCAGTTCAGCTTACAGGAAGTGACAACTACACTGCATTTATGGCTAGATCAACATTTATTTTCTATACTTGCAGAAATTCAAATTGTAAAAAATTTTAAATTTATACAGCTAGCACATCCAAGGATTATATAGTCTTTAAATGTTGATCTTATTTATTTAGTACAGTCAATTTACACAGTGCTTTACATACACAGTATCTCACACAAGTGGGTACACCCCTCACATTTTTTGTAAATATTTTATTATATCTTGAAATGTGACAACACTGAAGAAATGACACTTTGCTACAATGTAAAGCAGTGAGTGTACAGCTTGTATAACAGTGTAAATTTCCTGACCCCTCAAAATAACTCAACACACAGCCATTAATGTCTAAACTGCTGGCAACAAATGTGAGTACAACCCTAAGTGAAAATGCCCAAATTGGGCCCAATTAGCCATTTTCCCACCCCAGTGTCATGTGACTCGTTAGTGTTACAAGGTCTCAGGTGTAAATGGGGAGCATGTGTGTTAAATTTGGTGTTATCGCTCACACTCTCTCATACTGGTCACTGGAAGTTCAACATGGCACCTCATGGCAAAGAACTCTCTGAGGATCTGAAAAAAAGAATTGTTGCTCTACATAAAGCTGGCTTAAGCTATAAGACGATTGCCAAGACCCTGAAACTGAGCTGCGGCATGGTGGCCAAGACCATACAGCGGTTTAACAGGACAGGTTCCACTCAGAACAGGCCTCGCCATGGTCGACCAAAGAAGTTGAGTGCACATGCTCAGCGTCATATCCAGAGACTGTCTTTGGGAAATAGACGTATTAGTGCTGCCAGCATTGCTGCAGAGTTTGAAATTGTGGGGGGTCAGCCTGTCAGTGCTTAGACCATACGCTGCACACTGCATCAAATTGGTCTGCATGGCTGTCGTCCCAGAAGGAAGCCTTTTCTAGATGATGCACAAGAAAGCCCGCAAATAGTTTGCTGAAGACAAGCAGACTAAGGACATGGATTACTGGAACCATGTCCTGTGGTCTGATGAGATCAAGATAAACTTTTTTGGTTCAGATGGTGTCAAGCGTGTGTGGTGGCAACCAGGTGAGGAGTGCAAAGACAAGTGTGTCTTGCCTACAGTCAAGCATAGTGGTGGGAGTGTCATGGTCTGGGGCTGCATGAGTGCTGCCGGCATTGGGGAGCTACAGTTCATTGAGGGAGCCATGAATGCCAACATGTACTGTGACATACTGAAGCAGAGCATGACCCCCTCCCTTTGGAGACTGGGCCGCAGGGCAGTATTCCAACATGATAACGACCTCAAACACGCCTCCAAGGCGACCACTGCCTTGCTAAAAAAAAGCTGGTAGAGGTGATGGACTGGCCAAGCATGTCTCCAGAGCTAAACCCTATTGAGCATCTGTGGGGCATCCTCAAATGGAAGGTGGAGGAGCGCAAGGTCTCTAACATCCACAAGTTCCGTGATGTCGTCATGGAGGCGTGGAAGAGGACTCCAGTGGCAACCTGTGATGCTCTGGTGAACTCCATACCCAAGAGGGTTAAGGCAGTGCTGGAAAAAAATGGTGGTCACACAAAATATTGACACCTTGGGCCCAATTTGGACATTTTCACTTAGGGGTGTACTCGCTTTTGTTGCCAGTGGTGTAGACAATAAATGGCTGTGTGTCGAGTTATTTGGAGGGGACAGCAAATTTACACTGTTATACAAGCTGTACACTCACTACTTTACATTGTAGCAAAGTGTCATTTCTTCAGTGTTGTCACATGAAAAGATATAATAAAATATTTACACAAGTGTGTGTGTGTGTACATACATACATACATACACGCAGGCACAGGGAGAGCAAGCTCCAGGCAGGTGTCGTGGTTGGGATTCGAACCAAATGTTATTTTATAATAAAAAGAAATCATCTTGACATAAATAGTATGTGTTACTGTTTTATTGATTTTATTTCCAAAATTAGTTTGCTGCTTTATATGTACATGAATGCAGTCATAATTGTGCATTAAACTGCTTTGCACTGCCCAACAATGGTTATGTTTACTGCTGATTCTCACTATGCAAGTCTATATCAGATAGATGATTGGAAGCAAAGTGCACTATGTAGGTGTTATCTTGTCACTACACTTGTTTACAGCTGCAATAACTGCTTATCTAAAATGCGCCTCCTAACCTAAATATATCTCCACATTTAATACATTTAATACAATCATATAAATATAAAGCCACAATCATGAAAAAATATTAACGTTTCACACATAATTACTTGAACACTGCAATAACTCAGAATATTTCTCTTTCTATATACTATAATATTCCTCTAAATCTCCTTGCACATGGCTGTACAGTGTGCAGAGAATGCGTAACGGACCTGCTGTAGTCGTCCATTGCAGAAGTATGTCAAAGGTTGGGTAACGCACTCATATTTGCACTCATGACATGATCTGAACACACTTTACAAGCGCTCACCTTTGAAGGCTTGTAATGTGTGTTCAGACCATGTCAGTGTGCATGCGGGTGCTTTACGCAACCCTTGGCTGTGCGGAGACCTAAAAGTGCACCAAGTTTGTACCACGATGATTGTAAACAAAGGAAAACTATTAGACCAAAAATGACTACTGTGATCTTCAGCCTGGAAGTTGACTTCCTATATTCTGGCTGCAAAAGAAGTTCTACAAGATTACATGTGGCTACCCTCCAGTCAAATAACTGGATTATAAAAAAAAACACAAAACAGTAACATAATTAGAAAATGATGATCTTTCTTACCTATAGCTAATGTTAAATCTCTTCTCAGAGCAAAACCAACCAGCCGTTGAGACTCCTTTGACATGATTACAGGAAATCCATTGTAGCTGGTTTCATTGATCAGGCTTTCTATATCATCTACAGTCATATTATCTTGAGTGAGAACTGCTAGCGGTGGGTCACTCCTCCTTGGCCTCATCACATCACGTGCCAGTGTAGTATGTGTGAATTCTTCCTTTGCATCCAAGAAAGGATAGCCATTCAATCGTATGTGAGACTCATAGATGCCTTCCCGTCCAAAAGCATCTCCAACCCACTTACTGGTCATTACTGCCGCCATTAGTGGTACAATGTACTCTAAACCTCCTGTGAGCTCAAAGACGATAACAACGAGGGACACAGTCATTCGAGTTACTCCACCTGTAACAGATACAAACTGTAAACTTTTTTGCGCAATAACATATTTACTAAAGACTATGTACTTCTCATATATAAAATTTAGTTTTTACCAACAAGAATTTAGTGTCCTTTCAATTAAAATTGACCTAGAACAGAGATTTGTATGACACTGATAGACATAATCACTGAATATTTTATATATCTGTCGGGGATATTAGTGCTAAAATTGCCAAGAGATTTTCCAATCTTCCAGTGCATTCAAAGTCATGAAATAACCATCTCATGCAAAAGGAAGAAACTCACTATTGCAGTTGCAAAAGGTAGGGAAACTTGGGAGTTGCACTTGAGTTACTGCAGATCTCAACTAAATGCTGGACCTGGAACTAGGATTCAGCGATCTCATTGATGAGGACTACAAGACCTGGAATTCAGGTCCAGAGATTTCAACTGAGTACTGCACCTAAAATATGGATGTAGAGATCTCATTGACTGAGTGCTGGGCATGGAAGATGGGTTCCAGAGGTCTTACGGAAAGCCAGACCATGAACATTTGAACAGTGTACTCTACGTCAGCCCACATTAGAGACTCTGGCGGGGCTCACAGAGCGCACACCTGGAAGCCTGTTGATCAGTGTGTCACCCGGGCACAGCGGAACACATTATCGCTTTGTCCGGATGGTAACATGGTATTGTACCATGTGATTGCTGTGTCAAATCACAGCAATTACATAGTAAGAATTGCCAAGTAAAAGTAAAGTCCAGTTTTCTCTGCTCTCAGAGCAGCGAGAAGTGATACAGTAGCCTGTGAGTGTACAGCACCTTGTCAGCCCTAGTGTCCCTGATCACTGCCCCTGTGTAATCATAATAAAAAATACAGCCAGCACCTGCACCAGTGCGCACAAAAACACAGCTATACACCACACCAGTGTCCTGATCACTGCTATACCAGCGTCCTGATCACATCTATACCCCTCATACCAATGTCCTGATCACCAACATATGCTAAACCAACGTCCTGATGATCATCACCATACGCCATGCCAGTGCCCTGATCACCACCATACCAGCGTCCTGATCACCACCATACCCCATACCAGCATTCTGACCACACCATATGCTATACCAGCATCCTGATCATTGCCATACCCCAAACCAGCGTCCTATTCACCCTATATGTCATACCAGTGTCTGATTCACTGCCGTACACCTTACCAATGTTCTGACGACTGCCATTCCATGTACCAGCATGCTGATCAATGCTATACCCCATAGCAGCGTCCTGATCACCCACCATACCTCATGCTAATGTCCTGATCACCGCCATATAACATACCAACACCCGGCATTTTAGGGTCTCAACTGATCAATTTTCAGATATATATCCCACAGTTTGTAGACTCTATAACTTTCACACAGATTAAATAATATACACTGTTTTGGGTTATTTTTACGCAAAAAATGTAACAGAATACAATTTGCCCTAAATTTATGAAGAAAGATCATTTGCAAAATTTCATAACAAGAACTAAGATTAAAAAAAAAGGGTTTTTTTCCCACAATTTTCAGTATCTTTTCAATTATATAGCAAAAAATAAAAAACCCAGTGGTGATCAAACCATCATACCAGCAAAAGAAAGCTCTGTCTGCTAAAATTATAAAAATTACATTTGAATGATAATTGCACTATCATGCAACACTGTACCCAAAGTGCGTTAGTGCTGAAAACTGGCATGGACTGGAAGAGGGTGAAAGTATCCGGACTTGAAGCAGTTAAATAGAGAACAATGAGAATTATCTACTCATAACACTGACTGCCCCCATCTCCAGAGTATACAAACAACAAACCACAATGACTGAAGTAACAAACATTCCCATCATTTTTAAGAAAAAGGATCATTTTTGTTTGATTATTAGCCTGTCAGTTTGGTTTTCCACTATTTTCTCCTTTTTCTTGAATTGTTTAGTGATTTACCTAATGTAATCTTTGCAAATCATTAGAACTGACTGAACATGACTTAAGCAGCCCATAGATTATGCAATTTTCTTTCATTTCAGCACAGGTGGAAGGAAAGAAAATTACCCAATTTCCGCATCAACACAGTGGGATTTACTTACTAAAGCTGGAAAGTGCAAAATTAGGCTCACTTCTGCATTGAAACCATTCAGCTTCTAATCTCAGCTTGTTCAATTACGCTTTGGCAATAAAACCTGAAAGCTAACTGGTTTCTAATTAGACGTGAGCCTGATTTTGCGCTCTCCAGCTTTAATGAATAAAATCCATTGTTGATGGGGGAATTGCTTCCACAGCCCTATTGTGTTCTGCCGATGGGAAGCCTTCCCTGCTGGCAGAGCGCAATGATCACTTATGGTTGCTATAGACAGCAGCAATAATCCCATGAAAAAAAAAAAAAAAAATCAGATAGGCTGGTTGTACTAAAGTGGAATGATGGATCAACTTCAGTAAAACCAGCCTGCCCATACAGTGCCTTGAAAAAGTATTCATACCCCTTGAAATTATCCACATTTTCATGTTACAACCAAAAGCGTCAATGTATTTTATTGGGATTTTATGTGATATACCAACACAAAGTGGCACATAATTGTGAAATGGAAGAAAAATGAGAATTGGTTTTCAAAATTTTTTTACAAATAAATATCTGAAAAGAGTGGCATTCATTTGTATTCGGCCCCCTTTAATATATTCTAAAAACCAGCGCTCAAATCTTCATGCTACACAGGATTACAGAAACCATCACTCGCTGAGGTGCAACTCTCTAAAGATAGGAGAGTCTTGATGCTAGCAAAAAAGAAAAAAAAGAGGGCGCACTCTTCTCGTGCATTTCCATGATAAAAGGAAATTTATTGTAAAAAGACAAAATGGATACTCACAACCAATAGGTCATAAGAACAGAGAAAGAGCCACAGATGACGGTCCCAGACAGCGGGGATCCTATAGTAGAAAGAGCTAACGTGTTTTGGGAGTCGAACTGCCTTCCTCAGAGCTAAAATGCTATACATGCAAATGGTCCATATATAGAGGACCAAATGGTAAGGGAGACCCCACCTCACGCCATCCATACAAAAAAAAATAGGGGTGGAGCCTGCCAGGTGGAGCACAAATGAAGGGTATATTTTTTTTGCATGGAGGGAGTGAGGTGGGGTCTCCCTTACCATTTGGTTCCCTATATATCGACCATCCGCATGTATATCATTTTAGCTCTGAGGAAGGGAATTCGACTCCAGAAATGCGTTAGCTCTTTCCACTATAGGATCCCCGCTGTTTGGGACCGTCATATGTGGCTCTTTCAGCCCCCTTTACTCTGATACGCCTAACTAAAATCTAGCAGAACCAACTGCCTTCAGAAGTCACCGAATTAGTAAATAGAGTCCACCTGTATTTAAAGGAATCTCAGTATAAATATAGCTATCTGTGAAGCCCTCAGAGGTTTGTTAGAGAACATTGCTCAACAAACAGCATCATGAAGGCCAAGAAACACATCAGACAGGTCAGGGCTAAAGTTGTGGAGAAGTTGAAAGCAAGGTTAGGTTATATAAAAAATATCCCAAGCTTTGAACATCTTACTGAGCGCTGTTCAATCATTCAAAAATGAAAAAAGTATGGAAAACCTTCCAAGACATGGCCATTCACCTAAACTGACAAGCCGGGCAAGGAGAGCATTAATCAGAGAACCAGCCAAGAGGCCCAAGGGAACTCTGGAGGAGCTGCAGAAATTTACAGCTCAGGTGGCAGAATCTGTCCACAGGACAAATATTAGTTGTGCACTCCACAAATCTGGCCTTTATGGAAGAATGCCAAGAAGAAAGCCACTGTTGAAAGAGAGCCATAAGTTGTCCTGTTTGCAGTTTCCGAGAAGTCATGTGGAGGACACAGCAAATGTGGAAGAAGGTGATCTGGTCAGATGAGACTAAAAATGAACTTTTTGACCTAAAAGCAGAACGCTATGTGTGGCGGAAAACTAACACTGATCATCACCGTGAAAATGGTGGTGGCAGCGTCATGTTGTGGGGATGCTTTTCTTCAGCAGGGACAGGGAAGCTGGTCAGAGTTAATGGGAAGATGGATGGAGCCAAATACAGGGCAATCTTAGAAGAAAACCTGTCAAGAGTCTGCAAAAGACATGACACTGGGGAGGAGGTTCACCTTCCAGCAGGACAACGACCCTAAACATACAGCCAGAGCTACAATGGAATGGTTTAGATCAAAGCAGATTCATGTGTTAGAATGGCCCAGTCAAAGTCCAGACTTAAATCCAATTCAGAATCTGAATTGGAATTTAAAATTGCTGTTCACAGACGCTCTCCATCCAATCTGACAGAGCTTGAGCTATTTTGCAAAGAAGAATGTGCAAACATTTCACTCTCCATCCCCAAAAAGACTTGCAGCTGTAATTGCAGCGAATGGAGGTTCTTCAAAGGATTGACTCAGGGGGGCTGAATACTAATGCACACCACACTTCTCACATACAGATGTACCTTGGTTTACAAAATGCCTCGGTTAACTTAATTTTCGGTTTATGAATGAAAATCCGTTGAAAATAATGCTTCGGTTTACAAATTTTTTTAGCAATACGAAGTGTATGTCGGTGCCGATTTTTAAATGCAATTGCCGCATTTTTTTTTTTTTTCTTCACTATAGCTCACAGAGCTGTTACTTTCCCCGGAGTTAAAGGAAACTTTGTTTCTTTTAAGAAACTAAAAGGAAACATTGTTTCTTTTAACTTAAGGAAAGAAACTTTCTTTTTAGCTGGGGGGAAAGTGACAGCTGAATGTCTGAGCTATAGTGAATAAAAAAAAAAAAGCGGTAATTACATTTAAAGAATCGGCACCATAATAAAAAAAAATGGCATGGGGTCCCCCTCCCATCCATACCAAGCCCTTCGGGACTGGTATGGATTTTGAGGGGATCTCCCATGCCAAAATTTAAAAAAAAAATGGTGTGGGGGTCCCCTCCAAAATCCATATCAGACCCTTATCCAAGCATGCAGCCCGGCAGGTCAGGAAAGGTGGGGGGGGGGGGGGGGGGGTGAGTGTCCCCCGAACCATACCAGGCCACATGCCCCCAACATATGGGGGTGCTTTGAGGCAGAGGAGGCTCCCCCCCAAATCACCTTGTCCTTATGTTGATGTGGATGAGGGCCTCTTCCCCACAACCCTGACCGTTGGTTGTGGGGGTCTGCGGGCAGGGGGCGTTTCGGAATCTGGAAGTTCCCTTCCCCCCCAGATCCCACCCCCCCCCCCCCCCCCATGTGAATGAGTATAGGGTACATGATCCTGATAGTCATTCACAAAAAAACAAAAAGTGTAGTGTGAAAAAAGACAGGACACGGTCTTTGACAAGTCCTGTGGACATCAGCCGAATGACATCATTGATGTCACTTGGGGTGGGGTCACATGCGTGATGTCCGCACCCTACATTTAAAATTTAGCTCAGGTGCCTCCAATTTCTCTTGATTATTGCTGAGATGTTTCTACACCTTGGCTGGAGTCCACGTATGGTAAATTCAATTGATTGGACATGATGTGGAAAGGCATATACTTCTCTATAAGCCCAGGTTCACACATATGCGGTGCAGCACATCGCATGTGATGCGCACAGGAACTGCACCGCATTCCTGAGCAAATCACATGCAATATCTGTGCAGTGCAATTTGAGCCATACATTTTGTATGGATCAAATCGCACCACATCAAAATAGTGCAGGCCCCTTTTTTTGTCCGCACCAGAATCGGATCGCACTCACACCGTGATCCAATTCTGCACATCGCACTGCGTTTTGCAAACTGATTGCAGGGTATTAACTTAATATACACATCGGATCACATGAACGGGGTACAATTGTGATGCGGTGTGGAAATCGCACAGACTGGTGCAAATTCCACACTGCAGCACTGTGAACCCAGGCTTAAAGGCCTCACAGTTGATAATGTATACTGTATCAGAGCAAAAGCCAGGAGATTACTTTGACTGAGTTCCAGAGATCCTGTGTGATGGGACAAAGATCTAGAAGGACAACCATCACTGCATCCATTTACCGATATGGCCTTTATGGCAGAGTGGCTAGAAGGAAGCACATGTGCAAAACACATGAAAGCCCGCTTGGAGTTTGCAAAAAAGCACCTGAACGACTCTCAGACTGAGGAACAAGACTCTCTGGTCTGATGAAACCAAGATTGAACTGTTTGGTCTCAATTCAAAACATTATGTCTGGAGGAAAGCACCGCCCATCAGCATATATTGGTGAGGGGAAGCACAGGACACCTTTGCTGCCAATGTGATGGGTGTCCAGTGCACCACTTACCCTTAAAGGAGGGATGGGCTCTCTCCAGGCTTACCTGCCCTCAATTTATGCATTATTATACATGTGCTTCTACTATGGAGGCTCTCAAAATTTACAGAGTTAGGACTGCATATAACACTAGAGTGCCGTGAAGTGGTTCTGCAGATTATGCATATAAGCCCTGTTTATAATATGAACTGTTACACAGGATAATGCAGTAGGATGCAGGCTGGCTGGTAACTTGAGCTAGGAATTTTTCTTTGTTGTTGTTCGACACCGCTCATCACCTGCCAATACCATCCCAACAGTGAACCATGGTAGTGGCAGAATCATGCAGTGGTGGTGTTGTTCAGCAGCAGGGACTGGGAGACCGGTCAGGGTTGAGGGCAAGCTGAATGGAGCAAAGCACAGATATATCCTCAATGAAAACCTGTTCCAACAGAGCTCAGGACCTCAGACTGGGCTGAAGGTTCACTTTCCAACAAGACAATGATCCTAAGCACACAGCCAAGCCAACACAGGAATGGCTTAGAGACAACTCTGAATATTTAAGAGTGGCCCAGCCAGAGCCATGACTTGAACCCTATTGAACATCTCTGCAAGGACCTGAAAATGGGTGTCTGACAGTCTCCATCCAATCTCCACAATCTTGAGAGGACTTGCAAAGAATGATGGCAGAAAATCCCCCAATCCAGGTGTGCAAATTTGTCACATCATACCTAAAAGGACTTGAGGCTGTAATTGCTGCTTCAACAAAATACAAAAAGGGTCTGAATACTTAAGTACATGCAATATTTCAGTTGTTTCAATAAATTCACAGACATTTCTAAAATTCTGTTTTGCGGTGTCATTATGGGGTATTGAGTGTAGATTAACCGCTTCCACACAAGGCACTTTTAACCCCCCCTTCCTGTTTCAGGTTTCAGCGCTCTCAACACTTTGAATGACAATTAAATAAAAATTGTAACCAAACTAAAATTTTATCATTTTCTATCACACATCTGAACTTTCTTTTGTGGTATTTAATCACTGCTGGGGTTTTTATTTTTTTCTAAATTAACAAAAAAAAAAAGACCAAAAATGGTTTCTGTTAAAAAGTTTGCAAATAAATTAATTGATAAATTTAGGCCAAAATGTATTCTACTACCATGTCTTTGGTGAAAATAACCCAAATCAGTATTTATTATTTAGTCTGTAGGAAAGTTATAGAGTTCACTAACTATTTAGGATATATCTGAATATTGATCAATCCTGAAGTACTGACCGAGCCAATCTAATTTCTGAGGTCCAATGTCACAGTACAGATATCTCCCAAATGACCCCTTTTTGCAAAGTACAGTCCGACGTACTATAACAGTGAAAGTTTTACTTTCTAGGGTGAACGTGCTTTACTTTCTTTTTGGGATATTTGTAGAATCTTAGCTTAGGAAAGTGCGGTTTTTAATGTATTTTATAACAAGGCATGGCGACAATTTTTTTGTCAATTTTCGGAAATTAAAAAAAAAAAAAAGGATTCACTTTTTTTTTTTTTACACACAGCTGTCATCACCAGTGCAGTACAGTGTCATCATATAACTGCATGGCGGTGCTAGGGACACTGACTGGTGACAGTACAACAACAAAAAAAAATTGATAATTTAAAAAAAAAAAATTTTATTGTTTTTATTACATTTTTTAAAAGATTTTTTTTTCATATTTCACTATGACCAAAGTGTATAATGTTACCAATGTGCAACATTGTACTACTTTTGGGGAAGCGATCAGTGCCTTTTTTGTTTTGTAGTTTTTTTACTATAGCAAAGAATGTTTGCTGTAAGCAAAGCATTTACTGAATTTCGATTCATTCAGGATTTTTTTTGTGCTTAACTGAGATTTGGCCACAGCTAATCACACGACAGAGCTCTGTGATTGGCCCAGCTTGTGCATGTGATCGCTGTGACCATTCACAGCTAGCCACATTGTATACAATGGATGGCATGAAAGGAAGCCACCCATTGTATACAACTGTCATGTGACCTGCTGACAAAGCAGGTCACATGGTACTGGGCCGGTACACAAGATCTGTCATCAGCCGTGTCCTAGGTACATGGCCGGCACAGATCTCGCCGCTGCAGGCAACTCTGCGGCCAGGCAAACTGTGCATGCCTGCTGTGGCGTCCACCCGGAGGGACGAGCTACTCGCCACGGCTGCCTTTGTGCTATTGGCTGGGCGGCAACTGGTTAATGAAATAAAAAATTAAATTAAACAACTGTAGTATCAGGCTGCAACATAATAAAATTTAAAAAAGACAAAGGCGCCTGAATACTTTATAAATGCACTGTACAGTGGAATTTACGCAGCTACGACGATAAACTGGAAATGGTGGCGATCAGTGCCTTTTAGTGGGACTGTGATAGTGTGGCAGGCAATATGGCACTAGCCGACGCTGGCTGGGAGATACACTAATGGATACTGACATTACCAGTGAAACTAATACAGTTATGAGTGCTAATACTGTACACACTGTCACTTTAATAAGGACACTGGCTGGGAAGGGGTTAACATCTACGGTCAAAGGGTTAACTGTGTGTCTAACAATGTGCAATATGTGCTGCCTTTACTAATAGATGTGACTCTTTCTCCCTGCAAGAAGCAGTCACATCACTGCTCTGTGTAGAGAGCCCTGTGCTGTGACTGGACACAGCCAATCAGCAAGTCCCAGCAGCCAATCAGCAAGTCCCGGCCATAAATTGCGCTGTGTCCAACCACAGCATGGCTCAGCAGCAGTTGCGCGCATATGTGCCCCAACCTGGAAGCGGGATGTTTATTTATGTTGCTGAGCCTACAGCTGCTACCCTGTCACAGTAAATATACTGTGATGGGGCGACAAGTGGTTCATGGATTCTAGTATCACTATCTGTCACTGTCTGAAGAAGGCGATAGTACAAGCTCTGACACAGTGCACTTTTTGATATGCTACAAATAAATTGCCCACAACTGGGTATCGGATGTGCTGGTGATTTCTACGACTTGTCAGACCATATACACAAAAGATCGCACTGATTGACTGTTGGACCTGAAAGATTGTGCTGAAATCTCACTGAATGACAGCTGGAACTGATAAATTGACCTCACTGATGAGTGCAGCACTGGGAACTCCAAATGCAGAGATCTCAACATAACATAAGCATTAGATATGAGCCTGGACATCCTCCAAGCCTTTTCCATCTAAATTTCCACTTTTTGCTATTTTCTGGACCAAAAGGCTGTGAGAGAGGTCATTCCCCACACCGCAGTACATATATCAAAGTGATGAGATGCTGGCGAAGTAAGTGTCCCAATGACATTGACTAATTTTGGGCATGTGTCCATATTAGGGCACTGATGTTACCAGCATCCTGCCCTGTGCTTTACATGTGCTGCAGGGCAAGGAACGACCCAGCCCACAGCTGACTGGGCTAGAAAGAAGGAAAAGTGGAAGTTTGGATAAAAGCAGAATTCAGAGGATGCCAAAGCTCATCTCCAATATGCATCACAAACTTACCCAAACAAGCAGCGGCCCCAACCATAGCATACAGCCCTGGGGTGATGCAGTCCGCACCTACTTCACACCACTGCTTGAATATGAACCAGTCATGGTGGTAATAAGCCAGCTGCTCGACAGCAATACCCACAATCCTTCCTGCTATAGCACCAATTGCCATGCTAGGGATAAATAGGCCAGATGGAACCTGCAAAGGGAAAACTTTAAGTAAAACCTGGTGCAGGGTACTTAGAAGAAAAAAAAAAATTCAAAAAGGCCATATACTAACAACAAACTAACAAGAAATCTTTCTATTGCTGGATACTAAACAATAAAATATTACTTGCTTTAAAAATCTTCCATATGTAAACTCTAGGTTCCAAAGGATCTGCATACACTGTCTGTACTGGCTTTGAGATATGGAACAGTCAGAAGGTTAACTAGTGACTTGGAACTTTGTTACCTTAATGCCAAATGTGAAGACTGTCATGATGATTTTGAACACAAGTGCCAAGCACAGCTGCCACATGGCAGAGTAAACTCCATTACCAGCAGGCCGGTCCGGAATATCATCCACAATCTTGCTAGCATTCATATCATTTTTATAATCACAAAGCGAAGAGGATTCCAAAGGCCCACAATCTGTGAAGAGCTCTTTAATCAGTTGGCTGGTGTTGAAGCGTGTGTAGGGGTTTGGGAAAGCAACAATTGCTGTAATGGCTGCCACCACAATAACCTCCAACACTGGGTACTTTCCAAACTTTGTTGTCTTTCGGCGCCGACACCAGGCAATGTTTGCACGGATGAAAAAGGCTCCCCACAGACCGCCAAACACTCCCAAAAGGATGAATGGGATCAGTTCAAATAGATACCATGGAGTGTGGTACTCTACATAAAATAACACAAGCCGGCTGTTCCCAAAGGGATTAATAGATCGCAAGATGAATGCAGCCACCAAAGCTGCGAAGAAGGATCTCCATAACGTCTTGAGTGGGAAGTAGTAACTGACCTGGAGAAACAGTAAAGATATATGAGGAAACGCCAATTATGAAAAAGGGAAATTACTACAGACTCCACATTTCCAGTAAATCTTTTTTGCTTGATTTTGTTTTTGTCAAAGCTTATAGAGGCTTTCATTGACTTGTGCGACAATTTATGCAGCCAAAATGCAATAACTATTCAAGCCATTAGAACCTCCAGCACTACAGTGAGGAACAGAAGTATTTGAACACCCTGCGATTTTGCCAATTCTCCCACTTAGAAATCATGGAGGGGTCTGAAATTCACATTGTAGATGCATTCCCACTCAGAGACAGAATTTAAAAAAAAAATTCAGGAAATCACATTGTATGATTTTTAAAGAATTTATTTGTCTTGCACTGCTGAACATAAGTATTTGAACACCTGAGAAAATCAGTGTTAATATTTGGTACAGAAGCCTTTGTTTGCAATTACAGAGGTCAAACGTTTCCTGTAGTTCTTGACCAGGTTTGCACACACTGCAACAGGGATTTTGGCCCACTCCTCCACACAGATCTCCTCTAGATCTGTAAGGTTTTGGGGCTGTCGCTGAGCAACACGGAGTTTCTGCTCCCTCCAAAGATGTTCTATTGGATTTAGGTCTGGAGACTGGCTAGGCCACTCCAGATCCTTGATATGCTTCTTACAGAGCCACTCCTTGGTTATCCTGGCTGTGTGCTTCGGGTCATTGTCATGTTGGAAGACCCAGCCACGACCCATCTTCAATGCTCTGACTGAAGGAAGGAGGTTGTTGCTCAAAATCTCACAATAAATGGCCCCATTCATCTTCTCCTTAATACAGTTCAGTCGCGCTGTCCCCTTCACAGAAAAGCACCCCCAAAGCATGATGTTACCACCCCCATGCTTCACAGTAGGGATGGTGTTTTTGGGATGCAACTCATCCTTCTTTTTCCTCCAAACACGACGAGTGAAGTTTAGACCAAAAAGTTCTACTTTGGTCTCATCTGACCACATGACATTCTCCCATGCCTCCTCTGGATAATCCAGATGGTCATTGGCAAACTTCAGACAGGCCTGGACATGTGATGACTTGCGCAGGGGAACCTTCCGTGCAATGCATGATTTGAAACCATGACGGCATAGTGTTCTACCGACAATGACCTTTGAAACTGTGGTCCCAGCTCTCTTCATGTCATTGACCAGCTCCTCCCTTGTAGTTCTGGGCTGATTCCTCACCTTTCTTTTCATCAGTGATACCCCACGAGGGGAGATCTTGCATGGAGCCCCAGTCCGAGGAGACTGACAGTCGTCTTTAGCCTCTTCCATTTTCTAACAATTGCTCCAACAGTTGATCTATTTTCACAAAGCTGCTTTGCAATTGCCCCGTAGCCCTTTCCAGCCTTGTGGAGGTCCACAATTTTGTCTCTGCTGTCTTTTGACAGCTCTTTTGTCTTGCCCATGGTAGTAGTTGACGTCTGACTGACTGTGGGGTGGGCAGGTGTCTTTAATGAGATCAGACAGGTGCTACTAAGTTAGATTAATGAGTGGAGTAGAGGTGGACCTTTTAAAGGCACAGTAACAGGTCTTTGAGAGCCAGAATTCTTGCTGTTTCTTAGGTGTTCAAATACTTATGTTCAGCAATGCAAGACAAATACATTCTTTAAAAATCATACAATGTGATTTCCTGAATTTTTTTTAAATTCTGTCTCTCAGAGTGGGAATGCTCCTGCAATCTGAATTTCAGACCCCTCCATGATTTCTAAGTGGGAGAACTTGCAAAATCGCAGGGTGTTCAAATACTTCTGTTCCTCACTGTATGTGTTAAAATAGTATGGCACAGAACAACTGTTCAACATGGCACCTACAGGTATACACATTCAAGAACACTCTACTCAGTAGTCTAAACAAGGTCCTGGGCTTTAAGTGAAAAGAGCCCATACACATTATGCCAAGGATAAAATAATCTAGCAATTTATACCTAACCCCAAAAAATAAATTAATAAATAAATATGAAAAAACAATTCCTTACCTCCTCCAAGCTGAACAGGACACCACCAATAGGTGCACCAAACGCTACAGATACACCAGCTGCTGAAGCTGCTGAAAGAACCTACAAAACAAAAATAGCAAATGTCATTATGTAATAAAAGCTACTTGGCAATCTCAGAAGAGATATATACATGAGAGAGGCTGGATAGAAGTCATATAAAGAAGTGTTCCAAGGTGAAATGAGAACTGCACCCTTGCTCCTGATCTTTTTATCCTCAAAAGCAAACGAAATATTCCTGTGCAATTTTACTTGGCAGATATGGCCTGACTGCTAAATTGCAATAACACACTGTTCCCATGTAAAAATATCGCTGCACATTTGTAAAGTACAGCAGTCTGCTTTACATCTGTGCATTCCACTCAGCTTACCTAGGAGAGGAATCTAGCTGTGTGTGTTATAAACGGGAAGTAAAAATGCAAGTTACAGTGTGCAGTAAAACTGCAGTGTCCAGTGGAAAATGTTATGTGTTCTCCACTACAAACTGGGCTCTATAAATACCATGGTGTGTGACAGGCTACACTCACTACCAGGTTTCAGAAGATGCAGTGCTGCTAGAAAACTGCTGGAAAAACAGAACTTTTGTACTCAAGGTAAAATCCTATTCTTGGAGTCCACCGAAGTACACAGGAATTCTTAGGGCTTGTTCACACCATGGTGCAGAGACATAATTTTTTTCTGCATGTATGGTGTGAACGAGCCCCTAAACCTGTGTTTACTGCTGCCTACCAGAGCATTGGACAAGAAAAAAAAAAAATGTAGGTCAGCGCATGCACGTTTCAGTGAGTTTTATACACGTATATTCCTGAGCTGAGAAAATCCACATGTGATGTGCTGTGAACAAGGAACATAGAAAACAATTGTTTTTGTTCCCTTGCAGAATGAGTGCAGAAAATCTCACGTCTCTGCACACTAGTGGCCAAAAATTAACTGAAACATGCATGAAAACTGATATAAAACGGATGTCTCTGCAAGTGAAATCTGCACGCAAGTTTCCATCAGTTTTTCTGCACAGATGGTGTGAATGAGCCCCTTAAACTTGTGTTTACTGCAGCCTATAAAAGGATTGGGCCAAAAAAAAAAAAAAAAATGTAGGCCTGCACAAGGATAATCCCTCTGAAACTCTTCAGCTCAAAGGCCATGGTCATAAACACAAAGGGGCAAGACATGTCCCTCAATTAACTCTAACAAATTATTTTTATGGTGAGCAAACAAACTCATATTTTCTTTATTGAGGGAAAATGGGAAATCTTATACTTTTAGTATGTCCAAAAGCAGTCCAATTGAGGCGTGGGCAGCAGAGCCAACTCCCCCCCCCCCCCCCACCAATACAAGTCCAACAATAAGTTCTTGTCCTGGGCTGGTTAGATCATAGACACAATGTACAGAAACGATCTGAGCACCTCTGTACCTTGCAATCGCTGAGATGTGTAATCAAACTAATCGCAAATGTTAACAAAGTTTGGATCTAGCTAGCACTTCAGCCAGGAAGTTGCCCTCTTCAACCTCCCCCCACTTCCCATTTTGGATTCTGTGCGTGTGCAAATGTGTCAAGGGTCTTTGGGTCCTGACTGAGTCCTGTGGCACATCTGCTATATGTGCAAAAACAGCAGTTTATGGGAGTTTCAAATATTAACTGTGTTTGCGTACAGAACTGAAGTTCCTGTTTAAGTGGATATACAATGGCTATATAAAAGAATCGCCCACCCTTTAAAATAATCACAATTTGTTGCTTTGCTTCCTGAAATGAAGACAGACACCGATCGCTGTACGGGACCTCTGTGTGAGGTCCCGATCATGTGATCACTGATTGGCCAATCAGTGATCACATGAATAGCAGCAAGCAAGATGTCACTTACTGACATCATTGATTACTACGTGTGAAATCTGTGAATGATCACAGAGGTCACATGGTACAAGGCTATTCACAACAGCCTTGTACCATGTGACAAGCTGTGACCAATCACAGCCCTCACAGTATTTCTGTGAAAGAATGCAACCTGAGAGAAGGAGAAATGATTGCTTTTACAGCCTTTATGGGTGTAAAAGCAATCAGTGTAAAAAAAAAAAAAATCATTATCCCCAGAAAAAAAAAAATGTAAAAAACATTTTTTAAAAATGATAAAGAATTATGCCTTGTTTTTTAGGACAAATTGGTCTTTCATTTGGTGGTAAATGGTAATTGAGGTCTCCCGATTTTTTTTTTATTATTATTATCAAAGGAAAACTGGCTTAAAATAGTAAAACAAAATAACATTTAGCTGTGTATTTTTTTATTACCATAAACTACCACCACAGAACAACCCAAAATAATTTCTCCTGCTCCTGACGATCGCAGTGATACCACATACACTATATTGCCAAAAGTATTGGGACGCCTGTCTTTACACGCACCTGAACTTTAATGGCATCCCAGTCTTAGTCCATAGGATTCAATATTGAGTTGGTCCACCCTTTGCAGCTATAACAGCTTCAACTCTTCTGGGAAGGCTGTCCACAAGGTTTAGGAGTGTGTCTATGGGAATGTTTGACCATTCTTCCAGAAGCGCATTGGTGAAGTCAGGCACTGATGTCAGACAAGAAGGCCTGGTCATAGTCTCTGCTCTAATTCATTCCAAAGGTGTTCTATCGGGTTGAGGTCAGGACTCTGTGCAGGCCAGTCAAGTTCCTCCACCCCAAACTTGCTCATCTATGATTCATGGACCTTGATTTGTGCACTGGTGCGCAGTCATGTTGGGACAGGTAGGGGCCATCCCCAAACTGTTCCCAAAACGTTGGGAGCATGAAATTGTCCAAAATGACTTGGTATGCTGACGTCTTAAGAGTTCCCTTCACTGGAACTAGGGGGCCAAGCCCAATCCCTGAAAACCCTACACCATAATCCCCTCTCAATCAAACTTTACACTTGGCACAATGCAGCCAGGCAAGTATCGTTCTCCTGGCAACTGCCAAACCCAGATTTCCAGAGAAGCATGATTTGTCACTCCAGAGAACATGTCTCCACTGCTCTAAAGTCCAGTGGCGGCGTGCTTTACGCCACTACATCCAACGCTTTGCATTGTACTTGGTTATGTAAGGCTTGGATGCAGCTGCTCGGCCATGGAAACCCATTTCATGAAGCTCTCTACGCACTGTTGTGCTAATCTGAAGGCCACATGAAGTTTGGAGGTCTTTAGCTATTGACACTGCAGACAGTTGGCGACTTCTGCACACGTCATTTTACGTGGCCTACAATTACACGGCTGAGTTGCAGTTGTTCCCAGTTGCTTCCACTTTGTTATAATACCACAGATGGGCTTATTGCACAGGTGGCAACCTATCACAGTACCACTCTTTAATTCACGGAGCTCCAGAGAGCGACCCATTCTTTCACAAATGTTTGTAGAAGCAGTCTCCATGCCTAGATGCTTGATTTTATACACCTGTGGCCATGGAGGTGACTGGAACACCTGAATCCAATGGCAATATAGTGTATTTAATACGAGGCATAGTGAGTTTTCTTTAAAAGTGTAATTTTTTTTTCCACAATTCTTTGAAAAAAATCAAGAGTTTAAATAAAATCTTTCACAAAATTGTCACATTAACAAGTTCTTTATCTCACATGGTATAGGTATACTTGTAGTTACATCCCAAAATATATTCTGCTACTCCCCCTGAGTATGGCAATACCACATATGTGAGACTTTTTCACAGCCTAGCTACATAGAGAGGCCCAACATCCAAGGAGCACCTACAGATGTTCTAGGGGCAAAAATTATACATCTAATTCCCTAACCAGGCATCACACTTGAAGGCCCTGAGCATGAGGAAAATGGAAACACACTAAAAATGAAAACATTTTGGAAAGCAAACCCCACCCCAATGTATATTCTATGATGCATAATGAGTCGTATGAACATGTAATTTTTTTTTCCACGTTTTTGGAAAATGTGGAAAGAATATGAAAAACTATTTTCTAATAGAAAAAAAAAATAAAAAAATTAGAGTCTCATGTAGTGGGTGGACGTATACAGTGTGCTCTGCAAGAGGTCATAGCACATTTTTTTTTTTACCAGTGTCCAATCACCTGCAAGTAGCTGCAAATATGCACATGGTCTATGAAAACAAGTCACGTGTCCTGTACTGTACAATTATGATAATAGAATGCTAGAATCAAAAATAGGTCTTCTTTGAATCAGTGGAGCCAAGAAAAGAAATCCATCCTTCTATGACTACCAAAATAAACTGAGGCATGCTGGTAGTAGGAGGGGTCATCTCTGGGCTGACCTACATTTTTTTTTTTTTGTCAGGGTCCAATTCTCCTTTGTCCTTTAATAGACAAGAAGTAAACATATTTTTCACATAAACCGATTTTGGCCACTTTCGCCAGTCTCAGTTCTACCCATGACCCATAGGTACACAAAACAGTCAGGATTTGAGTATAAAATGAGAAGAGATGGCTATCCCTTACATATCCTTTAAAAAAAAAGCTGCCCAACGCATGTGTGCAAACATTTTATAGCCAGTATATGTATGTGAGGATGACTTACCTCCCTTTTCTTTGCCTCATTTGTGCTATACTTTGGAAAGAGGTAGGAGAATATATTTCCACAGCAGCAAGCAACATGTACTAAGGGACCTTCCTTCCCTAAGCTCAGGCCTGAAGCCACAGCAAGTACCAGTGTTACAGTTTTGATCATTAAAGTCCACTTTCCCAAGTATCCTCTGATGATGAATCCACTTAAAATGGTTTTAATCTGTGAAATTGAAACAGAATGATTAATGAATTACAACTTCAATGTAATCCCTGCTGGAAATGCCTTGCCCATTTTTTTTTCTTTACTAAAGCCATCAATACTACTCTTATGTAGCAATAAGTCTATCAAATTCTGGGTTTTCACCAGTAATAATGCCATTACATTCTTGAGTTTTCTCCCAAAAACAGCATAGGAAATTTAATCTTGCTAAAAAAAATAAAAGCAAAAAAAAACAAAGGAAGGAAAAGAGTGTTGATGCAAGTTAGATAACACAACTGCTTGACTTTGTTGATTACAGATAGGTCATCTCTTCTTCCACTCTAACACTGGTTTGACAATATACGGCCTGACATGAGCAAATCATATCAATTTGTTTCATATTTCAGTGGAAATGGTAAGTGGCTTTATACACATACATCTCTTTGATGGAAGACTACAGCTGGCATATGCCTATGAAAAATAATGGACTGTCTGATGTAACTACCATAGTATTATATACACTTCTATAGAAGCAGCACAACCAAAACTCACCTCTGGAATTCCTGAGCCACAGGCATAAGGGGCAAACACTTTCACAAGACAAACAGCCAAAAAGGCAAAACTCAAAGCCCAGAAGATGTACATAATGTAGTTCATTATATAAGATCCAGGACCCTATAAAATATCATACAAATTGCATTTTAAGTCATTCTGTTATGCTACTGTAGCATACGTAAATAGACAACAGGAACTTAAAGTATAAAACATGTATATGTGTGTGTATTTATTACAGTGCATTAATAAAGTATTCAGATTCCCTTCACTTATTTCAATTTTGCTAAGTTGCAGCCCGATACTACAGTTGTTTAACTGCTTCCTGACCGCCCTATAGCAGAAATACTGCTACAAGGTGGCACGGGTGCGCAAAATCACGAATATATACGTGGTTTTGCATTTCCGGGTAGGGGGCGCGTGCCCTACCAGCGCTGCCATTCGCGGCCAGTGCTGTCACCGGTTCCTGGCCGGTGCCTATTCGCCGGCGCCCGGTGATTGCCGAGGATCTCTGACAGGGAGGAGAACTGTTGGTAAACAAAACAGCAGTCCTTCCTGTTGACTCGTGCACACTGCTTTGCATGGCAGTGCACAAGCAGTGTGATTACAGTGAAGCACAAGGACAAAGCACAGTGTAAAACACAGTTAACCCTTTCATCGCCCCTTATGTTAACCCCTTCCTGCCCAATGCCATTAGTATTGCGTCAGTGATTTTTTTTTTTTTTTTTTTTAGCACACATCACTGTATTGGTGTCACTGGGGATGTCAGTGGCACCAAGTCAGTTCCCCCCAGTGTCAGAATGCCTGCCGCAGTCCTAAAGTCCCGCTATAAGTCGCTGATGGCCACCATTACTAGTAAAAATATTTTTTAAAATGCAGTATATATACCGCCACTTTTACGTAAACCAATTAATTTACATGTATTGGGATTTTTATTAGCAAAGAAATGTAGCAGAATACATTTTGGCCTAAATTTATGACGAAATTTGATTTTTTTAAAATTTTTTACTGGACATGTTTAATAGCAAAAAGTAAAAAAGATAGTGTTTTTTTTCTCAAAATTGTCGGTCTTTTTTTAGCGCAAAAAAATAAAAAAACGCACAGACGATCAAATACTACCGAAAGCTCAATTCGTTGGGGAAAAAAAAAGGACATAAATTTAATTTGAGCACAGCGTTGCATGACCACGCAACTGTCAGTTAAACTAACGCAGTGCCATAATGCAAAAAATGGCACTGCCCAATCCCCCACATTACAGCAGTATGGAGAGAAGATCCCCACAAGCTGTCAGTTTTTGAAATCAGCACAGCTTTGGAACGCTGTGGTAGTTTACTCAGTTTTCCGTTCACACAGATTAAACTGACAATCTGCTGGGGACATGCATGATCCATTAACCGCTGGTGCAATGCTTTACAGGCTGCAGAAAAAGTGCATTTATTTATTTTAAGTGAACGTATCCTTTAAATTGATTTTTTTTTTCTCATTCTACACTCAGTACACCATAATGACAAAGTGAAAACAGAATTCTAGAAATCTTTGAAAATGTATAAAAAGGAAAAACTGAAATGTCACACTGGCAGAAGTGTTCAGAAAATTTAGCTCAGGTGCCTCCAATTTCCACCTGTGGTTAATTAAATACTGGACATGGGCATGATTTGAAAAGGCACACCTCTCTATAAAAGGCATCACAGCTGATCATGCATACTGTATCAGGAAAAAAAGCCATGAGGCCAAAGGAATTGCCTAGAGAGCTCAGAGATGATTATTGCAAGGCGCAGATCTGGAGAGGCTACATTAAAATGTTTGCTGCACTGAAAAGACCAGATAAAATGATTTCATAACAAGTGTAAGAAGACTTACTTCTGCCTGGCCAATAATGAGATCCGCCCAGGTGTTCCATTGTGGACACTTGTCTCGTTCATCAAATGTAGCGTCATTTGAATCCCAGCAACATTGCTCATGGTTAAACCAAAACTTATTCATGCAAATCCCTTCCTTCAAATCTGCCATCCAGTCTGCTGCAATGTCTATTAAGCCTGCAAGGGCACCTGTGAATCCAAATTTTCCAAGTATTTAGAGACGTACAACTTAGGCAGGATTAAATCAAGCTTGTATAGAGCGCTTTACAGATATACAGCAGTAGGCATCTTTATATAACTGTAAGCTACCCATTCTAAACTGCTCATGTGACCATTTATCCTGTTCTGGTAATAATAGAATTCTGATAAACAGCAACTTCAGGAGAGTACCAGAATATTTAGGTCATTATACATTGCAAAGTACACAACACAGCTGTTTAAAGGCTGTTCACCTTTTTTTTCTTAATTCCAGCTCCCCTATGTACCAATATCCATTAATATACCTCTGTTGCAAAAAAATAAATAAAAGCTCTCTGATTCTGAGAACAAGGCCCTACCTTAGACCTTTCTGTATTTCTTAAAAAGCTTCATACCTTCCTGACATGTAGATTTGGGATGGAGTAGCCAGTAAGATACAGGAAGGTGTTTACCAGCTGACCTCATTAGAACACAAATTCTGCACTGACTTGTCAATGTATGCTGCCACTGCTGCTATGTTTGCATGGTATCCCCAGCTTTCCTTCAGATGGTCCTGGGCTGCATGTTAAGCTCTTGGGGCCGCATGCGGCCTGTGGGTTGGACACCCTTGATGAGGTGCAAAGGCCTGCCTGATTCTATACAGAGTGAATATATAGAGAGGTGGGTCCTCCTATTCCATAGCTTTAGTAAACCTAAAGGAAATTGTAAAGACACTGTACAATCAGGTTGTATAGTGTATGGCCACCTTTATATATGCACGTAGGAGGGAGTGGATGGAGACACTCAGCCATCGGGCCCCATTCACATCTCTGTATGTGCTTTTTTTGGGGAGGAGCTTTGCAGCTTTTCTGCTCATCATGCGCAGGGCAGCCAATTCACTTAAATGGACTACCCTATGCATGACAAATGCTCCAAAGAAACTCCAAAACTCTTTTTACAGTTGAGTGTGTTGTGCATTTCTTTACCTGGCCTTTTGGTGCACCTGCTAACCACGCCTGGGGTGCCATTAACATTTGAAGCACATTTCTGAAAACGTAGGGCAAAGCACGCACGCATTTTTTTTTTCAGAAACACACAGATGTAAATGTGAGTCTCACTGTTCTTGTGTAAACACACAAATTTCACTTTCAGGCCCCATTCACACCTAATGTAGTGGGACTGTAGGTGTTTTGACTAGTTTTCCCCATGATGTGCCTAGTGCAGCCCATTGAGTTTAATGGGCTGCCCTACATTCAGCAAAGTAGCGTGCTGAGCTTTGCACGTTTTTTACTGTGCATTGCTGCATTTGTTGCTCGTTTTTTTTCACATGATAAAATGTATGGTTGCTTCCATGTTTCAGACGCCATTAATAATTAATGACACTGAAAGTGCAACTAGTTCATTTTAGGTGTATAAAAGGTGGCCATACACTGTACTAGTTGTAAAATCTCTGTACGCTCTCCTTTAGATTTACCAAAACTATATAATAGGAGGACACACCATCTATCCAATCAGGCAGGCCCCCTTTCACTACATAGTTGATGGTAAGTCTAAAAGATTGTACAATCAGACTGTATAGTGCATAGTGAGCTTTACAGAACTCAGGACATACTTCTGCAAGATGAAGTTACGGTTGAGAAAAAAAAAACAAAAAAAAAAAAAAAACATTTGATGCCTGTGTATTTAGTGAAAACGGTATTCACTGATTTTTTTTTTCAGAACAAACTTTTCTTTTGGCAATACTGTCTTACAAAATGTTTTTCTATGCAATCCTGACAAACAAAACAATTTTTTTTTTTTACTTTGATCTTGTTAAAGTAGAAACTGTATATAATTACACAGCTGTGGCCAAATGTTTTGAGAATGACACAAAATATTAATTTTCACAAAGTCTGCTGCTTCAGTGTTTTTAGATCTTTTTGTCAGATGTTACTATGGTATACTGATTATAATACAAGCATTTCATAAGTGTCAAACGGTTTTATTGACAATTACATTAAGTTTATGCAAAGAGTCAATATTTGCAGTGTTGACCCTTCTTTTTTCAAGACCTCAGCAATTTGCCCTGGCATGGTGTCAATCAACTTTTGGGCCGCATCCTGACTGATGGCAGCCCATTCTTGCATAATCAATGCTTAAAGTTTGTTAGAATCTGTGGGATTAAGGTCTGGGGAATTTCTGGCCATGGACCCACAATATTGATGTTTTGTTCCTCAAGCCACTTAGTTATCACTTTTGCTTTATGGCAAGGTGCTCCCATCATGCTGGAAAAGGCATTGTTCGTTACCTAACTGTTCTTGGATGGTTTGGAAACGTTGCTCTCAGAGGATGTTTTTGTACCATTTTTTATTCAAGCTGTGTTCCTAGGCAAAATTGTGAGTGAACTCACTCTCTTGGCTGAGAAGCAACCCCACACATGAATGGTCTCATCATGCTGTACTGTTGGCATGGCACAATACTCATGGCAGCGCTCACTTTTTCTTCTCCGGACAAGGCTTTTTCTAGATGTGCCAAACAATCGGAAAGGGGATTCATCAGAGAAAATTACTTTACCCCAGTCCTCAGCAGTCCAATTCCCATACCTTTTGCAGAATATCAGTCTGTCCCTGATGTTTTTACTTGGCAGAAGTGTCTTATTTGCTGCCCTTCTTGATACCAAGCCATCCTCCAAAAGTCTTCCCCTCACTGTGCATGCAGATGCACTCACACCTGCCTGCTGCCATTCCTGAGCAAGCTCTGCACTGGTGGTGCCCCGATCCCACAGCTGAATCAACTTTAGGAGAAGGTCCTGGTGCTTGCTGGACTTTGTTGGCCCTGAAGCCACCTTCACAACAACTGAACTTCTCTCATTGACGTTCTTGATGGTCCGATAAATGGCTGCTTTAGGTGCAATCCTAGTAGCAGCAATATCCTTGCCTGTGAATCCCTTTTTGTACAAAGCAATGATGACTGCACGTGTTTCCTTACAGGTAACCATGGTTAACAGAGGAAGAACAATGATTTCATGCACTACCCTCCTTTTAAAGCTTCCAGTCTGTTATTCAAACTCAATCAGCATGATGTCCAGCCTAGTTCTTGTCAACACGGACACCTGTGTTAACAAGAGAATCACGGACATGTCAGCTAGTCCTTTTGTGGCAGGGCTGAAATGCAGCGGAAATGTTTTTTTGGGAATTAAGTTCATTTTCATGGCAAAGAGGGACTTTGCAATTAAGTGCAATTCATCTGATCACTCTTCATAACATTCTGGAGTATAAGCAAATTGCCATCATAAAAATCAAGGCAGCAGACTGTGAAAACTAATATTTGTGTCATTCTCAAAACTTTTGGCCAGGGCTGTACACTGGGTATAAGGCCTGCATCAGGCTACATTGGTCAACACAGTCTCAAAGATTGGACAAAGCAAAAAACCTTGTCTATTTTCTCAGTTAACGCAAAATGAGAAAAGGGATTACAACTATGCATTTTATTTTATAATTTGTCCTGTTTAAACTGACACAAGTTATTTTTGGGGTGTGACTGGACTTTTGACATGAGCAGATGCTGGACACTGCAGCTCCCACCAAAACCTGACAATATTAGCTACAAAAGACTTAATCAGCTTCTATCTACTCCTCACCTACTTTCTACACACCCAGTCACCCAAGTGTGCTACCCTGCAGGTGGGACCACACACCAGAGCCATGACAAAGCACCAGAGCCATGACTAAGCCCGACGCCGGACAAGCAACCACAAGATGGTGCCAGGCTGCTTCCCCCATGCTCCCAGAAAGATAGAGGCAGAGGTGCTGCTTCAAAATTGAAGTGTTTGAATGGATCCTGGCTAAGGACACATCTTCCCAACATAGCACTGCTACAGGTGATGCAGTGGTGGAGAAAATGTATACGACTGTGCAAGGCTTCCCTGTACGCAGGTGGAAAGGTGTGGGAACAGTGAGAGGTGCATGGGCGACAAAATATTTACAAATGAAATAAAGGCCTTTTTTTTTCCAATTTTGCACTTTTTTAATGCAGCACTAAAAATGATTAACAAAAAGAAAAGTTTTAATATTAATGATTACAAAAATTGAAAAATAAAAATGAGCATGAAAATAATAGTTAAAGTAATCGTAAAGGTACCTTCCATTAATGCATTCTAAATACTCCCCTGAGCTTGATCTCATCCAGCAATGTGCATTTCTGCAGCAGTGACTCTCCCTTCTCCGGCACTCACAGACTCGGCTGTAAGCAGTGGGAGCCATTGGCTCCTGCTGCTGTCAGTCAAAACCTGTGAGAAGAGAGCCCACAAGTGCCCACCATAGGAAGTGGCATCCTTTGGTGGGAACTCGGCGGGTGGAGGAGCCAGGAGTGCTGACGGGGTACCCAAGAAGAGAAGCATCAAGGCTACTTTGTGCAAAACCATTAATTATAACATGTTATTTTAGTGGAAAAAAATTGAAGCTTTACAATCACTTTAAAGGGAGAAGGGGAAAATGGGTTAATTAGGGTTAGTAAGGGTTTAAATAGAAACAAATTGTTTTGGGAAAAAACAGTCAAACTGCTATAACGAACATCCTATGCAGATCAAAGCTTCTTCCTTTGATCCACAGATTAATGAAAAAGTAAGTTAGTAAAAACTAAAGTAAATACATTAATTTGTATCTTATGTGCTTCTGAACAATGTATCAAAATTGTGTCAGAAGGTTAATTTTGAGACAGCAGCTGCCGGAATAGCTGTATTTACGCAGCAAATCTTGCCTCACTCGCCTGTCATTTTAACAGCTAAGAAAAAACAGCAAATGCAAGGGGAACAGCAGCAGGGAAAAAACAACAAGGCGTGCTAACTGCAAAATCAGAACGCCTCCTTCAATGGCACCTCAAGTGCACTGAGGCAATGCACCTGCATTGCAGAAATGCACTCCTGTTTGCTGTGGTGAGCTGCATCAGAAAAAAGGTACAAGCAACAGTGCATTAATGTTTAATGATTGCTCTACAAACAGCATTTTAAGTCTATTAGAAACATTTAAAATCAGTTCCAAACTAGGTGAACCTTTCTGTAGGCTGCAGAGGTGTCCATAAAATAACATGGAAGCAATTGTGCCACTTCTGGTTCCATCCCATTTCAAAGTTTGTATGAGAGATGGATTACCTCATTCACATCAGCTTGTCCACCCATAGAAACTGAATGACTGTGTTTAACTCCATGTTCCACCTATGTGCAGAAGAATGCTCCCCCCAAACATTGTGTTACTGCATCACATATTTGCACCTATGCGGTTAGTATGAGGCATAGAGGCAATGATCTTAGGCTGTTTTGTTTTTTTAAATATGAATATTATTTTAAGAGTAGGACAAAAGGTCAGTAGGAATTTTGTTTTTGTAAATAGTTGTTCTCTACATGACAAAAGGTCATGCAAACTGATTTAATGAAACTTTCAGAATTTTGTTTTTGTAAATAGTTGTTCTCTACATGAATCTGAGGCTTCTGTACTGAATTATGTCTTTATTATGGTGCTTTGACTATGGATTCAAGGTTTCATTTGACAATCATTTCTGCTTGGTGTGGTGGCTGGGCTTTTTTTTATTCAAGCTACGTCTACTTATATTTTCACCTGTTAATCCTGAAACTAACACTTCCTGTCTCTGGGTAGCTACGTCACTCCTCCACTGTATCTGTAGATAGATAACTTTAAACTGGGACTATGGGCAAAATAAAAAAAACAGCCCCAAAGCATTACATATATGATGTGAGGGAAGATTATGGATCTAATGGCAGGGTGAACAGGTTATAAAACTGTGTTGAGGGGGAGCCTGGTGGTCCGGGGTTGCCCATTCACCTTTAGATGGCAGCCTATAATCCAGGGTCTATGAATATCCAGCCTATGTCCTGTACTGTACAATTAAAATAAAAAACTGCTGTGAATGCTAGTAACAGAATGTATCTCACACACACACACCACAAACATATGCACACACATATATATATACACACACACACACACACAGAATGTTTGTGTATATGTACTGCGTGTGTATATGATTTTATCCATACTTCCATTTTAAGTTAACATTGCGTACAGGAGTACTATACGCAATGTCTACCAAAGTAGACGCAGTATAGCACCTGACACATTATAAGATAATGGCTAAAAGGGTAATTGCTAACGACCACAAAGACAACATTTTGAAAATTTTTCAGTAGGTTATTATTTCCCACTCAATCCTATGGGGAGAGCCATAATTCACAGTTGGGCTCGCCACAGGAAGAAACTGGGTTGTGGCACATGAACACAAGATGAAGACGAACTAGAGAATACATTTTCAGAAGAAAGACTGCAACTAAAGTCAGGGCCATACAGTGAACTTCTACAGAAATGGGACAGGGGTAAATGTGGAACCAGGTAGGCTGAGCTCAGGGGAGTAGGACATGCCTTAAAGGACACCTTGTACCACCAAAAGATACAGTTTTCCTACAACAATAAAATAGTGTCATAAAACATCTACATCCCCTTTTCAAATATCTGGCTTTTAAAAGCAGAAAGCAATCAGTTGCTTACCTGATGCTAAACCAGTTAGCGTTACAACCAGCCACCCTGACCAAGCATCATAGAGGCTTTTCGATAACTCCCATGCAGACTCCTTCTTTTTGCTGTTAATCTGGGGGAAAAAACACAACACATTTTTTGTCAACAACAAAACCGTTCTTGTTCCGCCTACCTTTCAAGATGTAAAACCATAAAACTCCCACTGCCGAAAAAGTACATGCCTAAAAAAAAAAAAAAAAACTGAATACATTTTACTTTTCTGACTTTTATCTGAATTCATTTGACTCATTTTACATCTTCTGCCATATTAGGTAGCATTTTACAAAGAACAACAAACCAGACACATTAGTAGATCATTTCCAAAGATGCTTGCCTCTTGTTCACACATACTTCGTTTAGTGATGAAGTTAATTAAGTAACCAATAAGGCTTTGAAGGAATATAAAGCCTCCATGATAAATGGGTTTGGTGGGACCTGAACCCATGTCCCCAGTAAACCAACCAGTAAACTGATATTTACAATATTGGTCTGGCAAGTTGAAACAGCTCCAACTTTTATTATTGCACGTGGCCTCATTGGCCCTGCATTGACTATGTCTGGTTTTCCACAGTACACAGAACATGGAAATGCAATTATTTTAGTAAATATAAACTGCTAAATACCTTTTCTCATCAGCAGTTTATAGCAATCATGTGACTTCTATCGGAGTCCAGCTGAGCACTGGTTTGTAGTTTTTATTCTCCTCTATCGTATGAGACTGCACAACCCCTGACCCTCTGTCTGGACAGCACTGGTTGGCCCTGTGCTGATCACATGTACCCTCCCAAAGGAAAAAAAAAAAAAAATCTCTCTAGCCATACACACCAAACAGAGCATGTGCAGAGTGACGCCTAGAGCTCTGTACTATCAGCAAATGGACTGGGGACAGTCGAAGAAAGTGAGGACCAGATAAGACAGGATGAAAACAGTCTTTTTACACAACATGGATGATTAACCCCTTAGGTTCCATGGTGAGTATAACAAGCATGCTTTACTGCATATACACACTGATTTTACTGTGTGGGTTTAGTAACACTTTAAGCACCAGGACTGTATCTTGGTTAGTATAAAGGGTATACTTTAAATGTGTGACTGGTCTAGAGCAGTGGAAAAAAAAAAAAACAACAAACACACACACAAAGGGCAGAATGTAATTACTAATTTACAGTCAGTCATTCTGATTAGTCAGCATCTATAAAAGTGAATCTGAAACTTACCCTCCGATGGCGCTCCCGGTCTTTGCACTTCTCTCTCACCCAATCAATGGTATGGAAGTCATCGTAAGTGCCGACTCCTGGGATGGGCTCATCTAGCAGATCCAGTAGATGGGTGCTACTGTTAGCGCCACCTCCATTTGACATGTTGTAGTGTGTTCCTAGGAAGAAGTTAAAAAAAAAGGAGACAATGAATTTCTGTAATTCAGATAAAGTCATCATAGACTGCAAAAAATGTATTCACTGGATAAAAGGAGAAGTAGGGCCAAAGCTCTTCTGCACTTAGTTCTGCACTCCTGTGACCCAGATTCAGCCAACAGCGGGCTAAAGTCCCGTCACTTAGCTGGTCCAGACTCTGGAGGGATCCTGACTTTAGTGTTGGGATCCAGCCAGATGCCTGGACCGGCAGATGGCTCAGGTTCTCAGTGTACCACTGAGAGCCTGAGCCAGCTTCCCCTTCACACCCGGGCACTCCAGTGTGTAGAATGATGTATCCTGCCAGGCTCCATATGGCTGTAGAGATAAGACGTCCTGGTTTTCATACACCTGCTAACGCAAACTGTAGGCTAGAACACAGGGGGCGAGATTGCCCTTCTAAATAAATACCATATGGAAGTGAAATGACTCACAACTTCAGTATTATTTTTAATTCCACATTCTTTGTTACCATACTGGACTATTTATATGAGAATTCCTTATGTCCTTGCATCAGTTTTACAGGGAGGGATATCACCATCTATTATTGGCACTGCAGAAGTTTATAGCTTTCCTTGCTTGGGGGGTACACATAACTACACTGTATTATTATCTGCTCCTGTCATCTTGCCTGGACTGGGATACCCAGAGTCCTGATATGACGTGACATCTCCATTGTCAGACAGCTCAACCCTTACTGTTTCCAGCCAATTCCTATTCATCAATGGGGCAGCCCATTATAGTGACAGTGTCAGAGAAGCCAAGTACATGACTAGATCTGCAAGTTTTCTAAACCTTCTTTAAGCATGTGCAAGCACGTTTAGAGTTCACGTTTAAAGTGGCTAATTTGCATTCTGAAATGTATTGTGATAATTATGTGCAAAAAAGAACGGTGACAAACATGAAACCTTAATGTAATTCTATAGTGTTACATAATGCGTATATAAAACCAAAAAAACAAAAACGAAATATAAATCGCAGTTTAGTCCTTAGATAAGGTAATTGTGTCATAGTTTCAGCCTCTTTTTTTTATTCTGGTAATCTTGCAAATCACACACTTCTGTGCCTGGGTGGCTACACTCCTCCACTCCTCTATGGTTTCCTACATGGACAAAATATGGCTGGTTCAGCAAGGACCAGCCAAATTTTGATTCATGCATGTGGATATGGAAAAAAAATTGGGTCAACCTGCTGGGTGAACGAAAAAAAATTTATCGTCTACGGGCTGCTTAAAGGAGGACAGCCAAAGCTCTTTTGGCTGCACTTCTGTGGATAACAGGAGTGCAGTTCGTTCTACACTCCTGTGATATGTTTTCAGCTGACAGTGGGCTGAAGCCTGCTGTTGGCTGACATCACTCAGTTGGACCAGGCTAAGGAAAGATCCCGACTTAAGTCGGGATCCCAGGGTCTGGAGCGCCACCTGGCTCAGCCTCTCAGTGAGCTGCTGAGAGAGCCTGAGCCAGCCGCTCCCTCCCCCATTTTAAGGCATAAAATATGCTCCAGAGTGCTGTTATTCATAAATCTAAAACTTATTGCTCTCCCAAATTTTTAAGCAACATTTTCTGAGAGTTATTTTAAAGAAATACAGTCAAAGCTCTTTTGGCTGTACTTTTCTTGGATCACAGGAGTGCAGTTTGTTCTGTACTCCTGTGACCCATTTTTAGTTGACAGCGGGCTGAAGTCACTCAGCTGGTCCAGTCTGGGGAAAGATCCCAACTTTAAACTCAGGATCCACTCCTGAGAAACTGAGCCAGCAGCTCCCTCCCCCTTCACGGTCCCAGCACTCCAATGAGCGCAGGGAGGGAGGGGCAGAGCAGAGAGCGATGTCTGACAGTCACCACTCTCTGCTCACAGCAGCTGTGAGAGCTCAGTGGTCATGTGATTGCGGAGTTCTCACACTTAGTAGCCAGTGGAGGACAGACGCAGCATCAGACCAATGCTGCATCCACCTAGGTTATAATTTGGGGGGAAAAAAAACAAAACTTCTCAGTTTAGTATGGTGCAGCTTACCATTTTTTAACGTTAGTTCTTGGGGTTAGTTATCCTTTAAAGTGTAAGTCAAACCAATTTTCTCTTCTGAGAAGAGTAGGGAAGGGTTAGAACCCATGTTGATTTTTATTGCAGTCCAAGACTTTGTTAGATAGATTTCCCCTGTCAGCTTTTTATCATCTCTGTCCCTTTTGCAAAATTGCCCCTCACTTCCCATCTCTTGAATCGGACGTCAGCAGAATGGGAAATGAGTGAACAGGGGTTTTAATCCTTCCCCACTGTCCAAAACTGAAAAATAAGTTTTTCCTCGATGTACAAGTTAATGAATATAACTAGTCATACAAAGCAGATGGTCTGCAGTTGTTCCTAAGACTATTTTTAACAGTAAACATTTGACAGTAACATTAGTAAAACAGCAACAGAGGAGGAATCGGCTGAGGAACGGGTTTCAACTTGCAACCCGAAAATAAAAACACCATCATCACAGCCCTCCAAAATGCGTGAATTTTATAACATAACAAAAAACTAGATTTTTACAAATCAACTGTCCCTCAAACAACTCAAAATCGTAAACAGAAATGGGCTTAGAACTTGTGCCGGCACACGAGTATTCCTGCCTAATTCATACCAATCAAAAATTTAAAAAAATATAAAAATGTTATTAGTTTATGCTACAAATTCTATTTATACAAATCCCCCTCAATTAAACACAACTCCAAAAAAGTGGAACCCTTATATGTTGGTAAATTTAAGGATAGGATCACCTTTTAGAACATGTTACACCCATATGTAGGGTGTAACCTGTTCCAGCAACTTAACCTCCCTGACCCCATGAATCATGACAGCGGTCGGGGGGTTTTCTCCCCTGCAGCCGCTGTTGCATTTAAAATCAGTGCAGGATCTGTGAATGAATAAACTACATGACCCGTCTGCCACCGCGACAGATGACTTGTAGTTTTTACTAGTCCACTGATCAGTGTAATCGTAGTTCATTCACACTTCCTTCAGCTTTCTAACTGAAAGCTCATATGGACGTATTGGCAGAAAGCTTCAGGAAGAGTGTGCAGGAGCCTGCCATTCCACCCACAATCTACTGACTGCGAGTGCAATACTCTGCAGGCCCTGTGTAAAAAAATAAATGTGCATTTTCTACCTACAAATTTATGTATATTCTTTTTTTCTAAGGCTCCTTTCACACAGGCAGACTGATCAGGTCCGCCTGTCCGTCTTTCAGTCAGACCTCATCTGTCTAGTGCAGGGGTATTATATTAAATTTCACAGAAGTCCAACCAATAAAATTTTTGCCCAGCAGAGGGCTAAACCACGTTCATCACAATCCCTTCATCAGTGTCCTCAGTCCCTTGCACACATCAGTTTATCCTTCACGGTAGTGTTTGCATATCACCCCCACCCTTTACAATAGTGTACAGAACCCTTCACATCACACACCCCCTTTATTCACAGCAGCATCCTCAACCCACCTTCAAATCATCAAACTGGCGGCCCTCCAGCTGTTGCCAAACTACAAGTCCCATGACCCATTACAAGATTGACAGTAAAAAGCATGACTCCCAAAGGCAGAGGCAAGATGGGACTTGGAGTTTTGAACAGGTGGAGGGACGCCAGTTTGACACCCCTGGTCTAGTACAACACAGGGCTACTAACCCTGCCGTGTACAGTGCGGGGAAAAATGTGCAATCGCAGCCATTGGGAGGAGGCGGTGGGGAACTAGTCACATCGTGAAGGGTATTTTTTTTCCGTGACCGGAGTTGGGCTTTACAAATTGGCATTATTTTAATATAATAGAAATGTATATCTGGTTTGCTTCTTTGCGAACAGATTATATTCAATTTTTAAAAGTAAATATTTGAGAAAAACAAGCACATTTTATAAAAATTGTTACATGGCCACAATTTCATGTTTATCATGTTTGATATTTTAAATGTTCCCAAAGCCATTTCCCTCATTTTGTTACATAATGATTTTAAATCAGATTCAATAAAACAAACTTTGTATCACCGTAAGTAGCAAATGGTGATATACAAAGTCCTACAAGCTTTACTAGAACTTTTCCCATCAACTCATTAAATGAAAATAAAATCACAGATATTCATATAGTGCCGACAATTTCGGCAAACTTTTACATATTGTACATTCACACATCAGTCCCTGCCCTCAATGAGCTTACAATCTAAGGTCCCTACCTCACATGTATACATACAGATACTGGGGCTGATTTTTAAACAGGAGCCAACCCACCTATTAGCATGTCTTTATAGTGTGGGGAAAAACAGAATACCCAGAGGAAATCCACATAAGGAGATTATGCAAACTCCATGCAGGTATATTTTAAGAGGCTAACAAGACTCTACTCAGGATATCAATAAAAGAAAAGTTTTAGTAAAATACATTCTAAGGAGAACATACAGTAAGGGATAGGGCCCACTAACACATGGCTGGAAGGAAGTATACCCAACAGATTAGTTATGCTACAATTCAATCAAATTCTTGATTCCAGGTCTTAGTGATTGCTCCAATCCTTTCCAGTAATCTTAATTCTGTAATTCACATAAGTCAAAGTTCTCCAGTACTGGATAATTAGGTAGTTAAAACTGGAGCAAAGCTCTTCCACTGAATCAGAAGGATCCCCCAACACACAAAAATGGACCTGGCGTTTAAAACATAAGCACCAGAAAGCAACTTAGACTGTCTATATTAAAGCAGATCTGTGGTCCCTTTGCAAGCCTTCTTCTATTAGCATTCTCTCCCCTTTACTAATAATGGATGAAAAAATGTATTTGAAGGTCCTGTCTACTAATTTTAGGGTACACAAACACAATAAATTACCTATTTTTTTGGTAAAAATATAAAAGATGAGGTTGTGCAAAGTAAACAGATTCACAACATGTCAAAAATTAAGATTAAGTGCAACCATGAAATGATGACAAACTTCATTACCCTATACTTTCCATAGTCA